CTTGGGGCCCTTCTGTCCCTTAGGGCTATGGGGGAGGCTGGGGTAACCCCGTTTCGGCAGCTCGGCCGCTGGGTGCCAGGATGCTGCCTCCATCCCGGGCGCTCACGTTCAGCAGAGCCAAATCCCCCGGGAGCAGCGGGAGGAGGATGCTCCCATTATCCGGCTCCTGCCGTGTCGGAGGCAGCTGGACCAGCCGTGCATTAATAGATTACACAGAGGATTTTGGGCTCGCCGACAGCAAGGGGAGCGCTCGCGGGAGGCAGCACGGGCAAGGCCAGGGCGGCTTGCTGAGCCAGCGGGGACGGACGCAGCCCCCCGCTCCCTGCTAACACCTTTTCCAGCTGAGGTAGGTGGAGGGCTCGGCCACGGCACCGGGATGCTGCTGGGATGGCTGGAGCGGGGATGGGGATGCTGGTCCCCATCTGCCTCCAGCAGAGCCGCCAGCGGGGACCGGGAGCCCGGGGAGGCCGGACCACGGGTGCAGGGGGATGCTGGGCTCTGGGTGCTTGCCCTCTTCCCGTGGCTGGTTGTTTTTCCGGGGGATGCTCTGCAGAGAAACTGAGCTGGGGCAGCCTGTGCAACTGCCGAGCTGTGCCAGTGCGTGGCTGGATTTGAGCCGTGCTGGTGCGTGGCTGGATTTCGTGCCCCGGCATGCAGCAACCCCCAGCCCTTGCCTGCCCCTGCACTGGGGGCTGCAGCCTGGTCTGGGGTGCAGGACAGGGAGCGTGGGTGTCCCTGGGGTTCAGCCACCCCAGGTGCAAAGCGACACTGCTGGGTGCTGCCCTGTGCCTCTGCGTGCTGGAGGGTCTGGGGTCACAGCTGGCCACGGGCAGGGGAAGGTCCCCTTGTGCCACCAATTCCTGGGGTGGCACAGGGAGCTAGGTGCTTGCAGAATGTCTCATGGGACCATGGTCACAGCTTGTGCCCCATCAGCTGCTGTTCCTCAGTTTCCCCATCAATCATGCACGTCCCTACCATTAGCCAGCACCCAGGGCCACTGCTGCAGGCTGGGGGATGGTCTTGCTCCCCGAATCAGAGGTGACCATCCACATGAGCCATTTCCAAGACTATGTACACAACTGTGTGGATGCCCAAAATCCCTCCTGGCCCTGCTCCGGGCTGTGGCCGGGCAGGAGAAGGACAGACACCTCACCTCCCCCCCCCGCCAAATAGCCTCCGGTTGCTATTTGCTGCTCTCCACCCCAAGCAATACTACCATCCAAATTGCAGTCAAATCTGGCCAGGTCCTCAGGTTTTGCATATGCCCATGGGCACGGTGCAGCTGCAAGAGGGCAGCGCCAGGCACCCGCCCCGTGCCAGGCTGGCCTCGCACCCTGCAGGTAAGTGCAACCTTTGCCTTACGAAAACAACCCCAAAAGCTCCTGGAGCCATGGGCTGCTCCACCGTAGCGTTGGAAACCACCCCCCGGAGACAGCAGGGTGCTGTCCTTGTCTTTGGGGACCCGGCTTTGGGGTGGTGCAGAGCTGGGGGTGCGGGGGAGGTGGGCCGAGGCAGGACGCAGCCCTGAGACATGGCACCAATGTCCTCGTCTGCAGCCCTGCAGAGCCCCCAGCTGCCGCCATGGACGAGTGGGACGTCCTGCAGTGGAAGAAGGAGGTGGAAAGCCTGAAGTACCAGCTGGCCTACAAGCGGGAGATGTCCTCCAAGACAATACCCGAGTGAGTGGGTGCCCACCCTCCCCTCCCCTCCCCTCCCACACCCCCCGCCCAGCCCCGCAGC